TAAAACTGTTAAAAATATGTTCAAGAGTATACGATGTCTTCGCCTTAACGAGACTCCCTGTAAATGACTCGTGCCGTTCTTAATGTGCTTATGGCCGGGATGTGGCCAAGGGTATCATAAAGGGAGTTGGGCAATGCCTTAATTGGCGCTTAACCATGGCTCGTTTCGCAATCAACTCTTTCTCTTTCTTTCTTTCTTCTCTCTTCTCTTTCTTTCTCTCTCTCTCTCTCTCTCTCTCTCTCTCTCTCCCGCCCTCCCCTCCCCCCTCTCTTTCTCTTCTCTCTCTCTCTCTCCCTCCGCCCTCCCTATCTCTCTCTCTCTCTCTCAGTCATTCTGTCTTTGTCTCTCTTCCGCTGTGTGTGCGTGTGTTCGCGTGTGCTCTTGACACGATGTACGAAAGCAGAAACAAACGAAGCAATAAAAGCGTCAAGATGGCGGGCGTGGCTATCATCCCGTACCCCTTTGGACAATAAAATGTAACTCAGCGTCCTTAGCACGTCAGCGGGCAGTAAATGGAGCCTTGTGTTAAGAACAGTGTATATAGTAGTCTTGTGTTGGTTAGTACAAGTGAGGGTTTTTAAAGCGTAAACATTAACCAGGTTGGGAAAGGGGAAAAGCGTCTTGAAGTTGGCAGATTTTGATAAGGTAAAAGAATTGTAGTTTTGTAACACTTACAGCTTATTGGTACTGATGATAGGATTTGTTCTACCGGAAATATATTGGAATATGCAGTGCTTTAGCAAACTGCTGCACTGCAGAATTACTGATCTTTCTTACTGATACATATATGACGATACAGTGCATATACATTAGTTCCGTCTCTTTACACGCATTTTGACCTCAATTTATTGTCTATAATTGGTCGGATGAATTGTCAGTAAAACAACAACAAAAAAAACATATTAATGGTTTATATATAGATAGGAATCCTTTAAAAATGCATATGAGTACTTAAAAGTATCAAATATTTGACACGGCCCGTGACCGTCCCCCCCCCCCAGAAAACATGCAGCATGTGCTATCAATAAATACAATATGTCATTCAGCCCCAACAGCTCGTTACTAATCACACCGAAGGATTTCTAAAGATCCCCGCACTTCAAATGTACAGCAATAAATTACGGAGTACATCCCCACTCCGCCCTCCCCTCCCCCCTCTTCTTTCCTCTCATCTCTCCTCTCTCTCCCCTCCCCGCCCTCCCCTCCCCTCTTCTTTCTCTCTTTCTCCCTCTCTTCCGGCATTCAAGTAGGACTACGCAGGAAAAGCACAAGCGAGAGGAAGAAAGGTGATTCAGTCAACTAATTCAGCAAAATATTACAGAGAATTGACTCATCTTCAGATCGATGTAATCTGATCTTATGTCAATCAAAATGGACTGATTAATTTGAGTTGGATAAAAGGTGTCTAAGTAAATATCCGGCGGTTAATTGGCAGTTTAACTCCAGCAGAAGAAGGCCTTTCTATGTAGTAGACTGATGAGATGTTCAAGAAAGATACAAAAAGTCTTTAAGAAGCTCCATGATCCTGGGCGCTCCCACTTGACCTAGTTTAGCATTGTTTTTGTTTCATTTCCTTGCAATTTAGGTTCTGTTTCAGTCCCGATGTAATTTGGGTTCAAGTAATAAGTATTTCTTGATAGTTTCAGACAAGAAGGGACGGTCCTGAAACATCTTTGGATTTTTTTATTAATATTTGTTTTTCTGTGATTGTGTAACTGGTTTTATATGTCAGTACGTTTGTGTCTTTGTTATTTACATAATAATTCAGTTAGCTTATTATCTTGGATAACTATAAAACTTCAAAAAAAAAAAAAAAAGTCAGATATATTTCATACACATTCACATATACATACCAATCACTGTTTGAACATCACAAGAAAATATTCTTAGTTTACTGATCATCATAATAATAACAGTAATTATTTTGATAACAACAACAACAGTAAATATCACGAAAAATAAAGATAACAAAAGCCAAATCAAACAAGAACGATTGAAAAAAAATAGGAAAAAAGAGAGGAATGGAGAATCGTGAAAAAGGGGAGGAGGCGAGCGTGTAGCCGAAAGGGGGGGACTGTTTACTCCCGCCTCCCTCACTAATACCTGAGTGGCGCACCTGTCACGCCCGTCGGAGGAGGAAGTAAACTGCGCACTGGTACCGGGGGAGAAGAAAGGAGGAGGAGAGGTGGAGAGGTGGGGTGGTGGAGGAGGAGGAGGAGGAGGAGGAGGAGGAGGAGGAGGAGGAAGAAGAAGAAAAGAGAGAGGGGGGGGAGGAAGTAAACTTGCGCACTGGCACCGGGGGAGAAGGGAAAGGAGGAGGTAGGTGGAGGTGGTGGTGTGAAGAGGAGGATGAAGGGGAGGAGGAGAGGAGGAAGGAGGAGGAGGAGAGGAAGAAGAAGAAGAAGATGTGGAGTAGAGGGGGAGGAAGTAACCTGCGCACTGGGTGGATCGGGGGAGGAGGGGGGGGGGGGGGGGTAGAAGAAAGGAGGAGGTGGAGGTGGTGGTGGAGGACGAGGACGAGGGGAGGAGGAGGAGGAGACGAGGCGAGGAGGAGGAGGAGGAGGAGGAAGAAAAAGAAGAAAAAGAAGAAGAAAGAGAAAAAGAGAAGAGAAGAAGAAGAAGAAGAAGAAGAGGTGGTGGAGGAGGAGGGGGGAGGAAGTAAAACTGCGCACTGGCATCGGGAGCAAGGGCGCGGGGGGGGGGTAGAAGAAAGGTGGCGTGGGAGGAGAGGAGGAGGGGAGGAGGAGGAGGAGGAGGAGGAGGAGGAGGGAGGAGGAGGAGGAGGAGGAGGAGGAGGAGGAGGAGGAAGGAGGAGGAGAGGAGGAGGAGGAGGAGGAGGAAGAGGAGGAAGGAGGGAGAAGAAAGAAGAAGAAGAGAAGAAGAAGAAGAGAAGAAGAAGAAGAAGAAGAAAAAGGAAAAAGAAAAAGAAAAAGAAAAAGAAAAAAAGAAGAAAAAGAAAAAGAAAAAGAAAAAGAAAAAGAAAAAGAAAAAAGAAAAAAAGAAAAGGAAGAAGAAAAGAAGAAGAAGAAGAAGAAGAAGAGAAGAAGAAGAAGAAGAGAGGGGGGAGGAAAAGGGAGAAGTGGTGGAGAGTAGAGGGAGGAAGGTAAGAAGGGAAGTAGAGGAGGAGAGGGGAGAGGTGGTGGAGGAGGAGGAGGAAAAGATAGTGGAAGTAGAGGGGGAGAGGGGAGAGAGGTGGTGGAGGGTAGAGGAGGAGGAGAACGAGGTGAAGGAGGAGGAAGAGAAGGTGAAAGGGAGGAAGAGGAAACGATGATGAAGATGGTAGGGGAAAAGGGAGGAAGGGTAGAAATGGAAGAGGAGGTAGAGGAGGAAGGAGGAAAAGGAGGGTGTGGTGGTCGAAGTATAGGGGGACGGGGAGGGATGAGGGGGAGGCAGAGGTGCTGGTGGAGAAGGCGATGGAGGAGGAGGCGGTGGGGAAATGTTGGAGAGATGCGGGAGAGAAGTAGGTGGAGGTGGGGAAAGAGGCGTAAGAGGAAATGGAGGAAAGGCAGAAGGGGAGATAGTGGGAAGGGGAGGAGAAGGAGGGGGAGGAGGGAAATAATATGATGGATGAGGAGGAGGAATCACAACAAACAGTGAGAAGCAAAAGAAGAAAACGAAGATTATCAGCTGTTTTTGCTTTGATTCAGCTTTAAAAAAGGTGCTGGCATTCCGAAATACTCGTGGTCCACTGCCCTTCAGATTTAAAATAGGATTGCTCTCTCTCTCTATCTATCTACCCCTTCTCATCCTCTCTCTCTCTCTCTCCTCTCTGTCTCCTCTCTCTCTATCTCTTCTCTCTCTTCTCTCTCTCTCTCTCTTCTCTCTCTCTCTCTCTCTCTCTCTCTCTTCTCTCCTCTCTCTCTCTCTCTCTCTCTCTCTCTCTCTCTCTCTCTCTCTCTCTCTCTCTCTCTCTCTCTCTCTCTCTCTCTCTCTCTCTCTCTCTCTCTCTCTCTCTCTCTCTCTCTCTCTCTCTCTCTCTCTTCTCTCTCTCTCTCTCTCTCTCTCTGTCTATTTAACTGCCCCCTCTCTCTCTCTCTCTCTACTCTGCAATTATCATAATTATAATTTTTTACTGTCGATTATTGTGTCGTTCCTGTTTCTCCAGTTGCTGTTATCATTATAGTTAATATGATATTTAATATCATTATGATAATATTAATAGTCATAAGAAGACTGATTATGATAATGATGATAATGAATATTGTTATTGTTATTACTATTGTTATCACTATTATTGCTGTTGTTATTTTCATTGTTATTGTTATAATCATCATTATTACTATCATTATTGTCATCATTATTATTATTGTTATTACTATTATTATAATTACTATCATTATTATTATCCTCCTCACAATTATCATTATTATCATTACCATTATTATTATTATTATTATTATTACTATCATTATCATTATTGTTGTTGCTGCTATTATTATCATTATCATTACCATTATCATTATTATCATTGTTATTATCATTATTATTAACATTACCATGATGATGATAAAGATAATGATAATATCAATAACAATGATAATAAAGATTGATAATGATAATGATAGATAATTATTTTATTACTATTATGACCATCATCCTCATTCTCATTATTGTTATTGTTTTTTATCGTTGTTATGATCATTTTCATTATTGCTATTACCAAGATTGTTGCCATTATCATTATTGTTGTTGATGTTATTATCGATATTAATATTAAGATCATTACTGATATTACCATTATTCATTATCATTCTCTCTCCAATCATTCTCGCTCCCTCTCTCTTTCTCTCTCCCTCTCCGTGATTTATTAAGAATTTTCGCCTTTATATATTTGTATCTAAAAGAACATTCTCAATCCCTCTCTCTTTCTCTCAGTCGTTTATCAAGAATTTTCGCTTTT